TGCCTTCCCTGTTCATCGAGTGACGTCAACATGACCGGTTCAGAACTCAGAAAGTGGCACTTACCTTAGTGCTGATTTGCTTTAGATCACGGGTTTCCAGTATTATCCAGAATGAGCCAGTGTGGCTGAAGGTTTTCATACTAACCAAGCAGAAGCCACACTTTAGTCTATTGAAAGTAAAGATCAGCAGATCCAACAATTGGAATCAGGTGTGGCTCCTGCTAGAAAACCAACAACCCTGTTTAAGACCAATCAGCATCATAGGCATATTTGGTTGTTAAATATAAAACATTGACTATGTAGAAAGCTGATAGCGGAAAATGTACACCTCTCGTCACAGTTTGCATGCCTGCTTGTCGCTAACAGAAGACAGACCCGATTTTCTCCCATTTTTGCCCCTTGTTCACAGGTGAAACGTGGCCTGATGGATAATGATGTGCTTCCAAACAGCAAAGAATCAGTAACAATACAACTGGGAAGCTGAAAGGTTTCTAAGAGGCCTGCATTGAAGCCTATGGCACACTGTATTGCCAACTAATTTTCAGGTAGGTCCTTCCTTCCTTTTGTTCCAAGTACCATAAAGTAGCACTTAAAGCTTCAATTTACACTGTGCATTGGCCGGGAATCGAACCCGGTCAACTGCTTGGAAGGCAGCTATGCTCACCACTATACCACCAATGCCCACCACTATCTCACCAATGCCATGATGGGAAATCCCATTCTGGTGAGCAAAAGTTTAAGAATGTGCATTTCTCATCAGCAGACCATAGGCAACAGCCAAAGAAATGAGCTTTCATGGTTTCTGTAGTGTAGTGGTTATCACGTTTGCCTAACACGCAAAAGGTCCCTGGTTCGAGACCGGGCAGAAACAAGCTGCAAATTTAGAATTTTGCTTTAATAACTGACCGGTTGTCATCACTATAGGATCAGATCCTCTATGAACAGCCCGAAAGCGAGACCTTGAACTGACCAGAATTCCTGCTTTTGTAGCAAAGCAGATCAAATTTGCTTACAAAGAAATGAAGGGAATCTCTGTTTTCCACAGAACGTGGAAGCCTGTCTCTTTTGTTGCTCAGTAAGACTCTGGACTTGACTGGAAATTTTTCTGTAAAGTACTGGTCACCAAGTTCACCTATCAGCAAAAGGTATCCGATCGAAAAAGGCTGGGAGCGGTTTCCTTCCATTGTGCTTTTGTTCTTCTTTCTTGAATCAAGAAGACAAGGGTAAGGATGCGTTTGACTCGAGGTTGCAACTTGTAATTCCCCACCTCCAAGCAGGAACATACAACGAAAACGCACCCTCGACTTGAAATTGCCATTCGTCAACAATGGGAAGTCTTCTCATCTACCAGTGCCTTCCCTGTTCATCGAGTGACGTCAACATGACCGGTTCAGAACTCAGAAAGTGGCACTTACCTTAGTGCTGATTTGCTTTAGATCACGGGTTTCCAGTATTATCCAGAATGAGCCAGTGTGGCTGAAGGTTTTCATACTAACCAAGCAGAAGCCACACTTTAGTCTGTTGAAAGTAAAGATCAGCAGATCCAACAATTGGAATCAGGTGTGGCTCCTGCTAGATTGGAACAAAAACCTGAAAATTGGACAACCCTGCTTAAGACCAATCAGCATATAGGCATATTTGGTTGTTAAATATAAAACATTGACTATGTAGAAAGCTGATAGCGGAAAATGTACACCTCTCGTCACAGTTTGCATGCCTGCTTGTCGCTAACAGAAGACAGACCCGATTTTCTCCCATTTTTGCCCCCCTGTTCACAGGTGAAACGTGGCCTGATGGATAATGATGTGCTTCCAAACAGCAAAGAATCAGTAACAATACAACTGGGAAGCTGAAAGGTTTCTAAGAGGCCTGCATTGAAGCCTGCCACAGCTGTATTGCCAACTAATTTTCAGGTAGGTCCTTCCTTCCTTTTGTTCCAAGTACCATAAAGTAGCACTTAAAGCTTCAATTTACACTGTGCATTGGCCGGGAATCAAACCCTGGTCAACTGCTTGGAAGGCAGCTATGCTCACCACTATATCACCAATGCCCACCACTATATAGCCAATGCCATGATGGGAAATCCGATTCTGGTGAGCAAAAGTTTAAGAATGTGCATTTCTCATCAGCAGACCATAGGCAACAGCCAAGGAAATGAGCTTTCATGGTTTCTGTAGTGTAGTGGTTATCACGTTTGCCCTAACGCATAAAAGGTCCCTGGTTCGAAACGGGCAGAAACAAGCTGCAAATTTAGAATTTTGCTTTAATAACTGACCCGTTTGTCATCACTATAGGATCAGATCCTCTATGAACAGCCCGAAAGCGAGACGCTTGAACTGACCAGAATTCCTGCTTTTGTAGCAAAGCAGATCAAATTTGCTTACAAAATGAAATGGGAATCTCTGGTTTTCCACAGAACGTGCGAGAGCCTGTCTCTTTTGTTGCTCAGTAAGACTCTGAACTTGACTGGAAATTTTTCTGTAAAGTGCTGTGTCACCAAGTTCACCTATCAGCAAGAGGTCTCCGCTCGAAAAAGGCTGGGAGCGGTTTCCCTTCCATTGTGCTTTTGTAGCAAGGCAGATAACAGCTGTTCAAAATCTCTTTCCTTGATCAAGAAGACAAGGGTAAGGATGCGTTTGACTCGAGGTTGCAACTTGTAATTCCCCACCTCCAAGCAGGAACATACAACGAAAACGCACCCTCGACTTGAAATTGCCATTCGTCAACAATGGGAAGTCTTCTCATCTACCAGTGCCTTCCCTGTTCATCGAGTGACGTCAACATGACCGGTTCAGAACTCAGAAAGTGGCACTTACCTTAGTGCTGATTTGCTTTAGATCACGGGTTTCCAGTATTATCCAGAATGAGCCAGTGTGGCTGAAGGTTTTCATACTAACCAAGCAGAAGCCACACTTTAGTCTATTGAAAGTAAAGATCAGCAGATCCAACAATTGGAATCAGGTGTGGCTCCTGCTAGATTGGAACAAAAACCTGAAGATTGGACAACCCTGCTTAAGACCAATCAGCATATAGGCATATTTGGTTGTTAAATATAAAACATTGACTATGTAGAAAGCTGATAGCGGAAAATGTACACCTCTCGTCACAGTTTGCATGCCTGCTTGTCGCTAACAGAAGACAGACCCGATTTTCTCCCATTTTTGCCCCTTGTTCACAGGTGAAACGTGGCCTGATGGATAATGATGTGCTTCCAAACAGCAAAGAATCAGTAACAATACAACTGGGAAGCTGAAAGGTTTCTAAGAGGCCTGCATTGAAGCCTATGGCACACTGTATTGCCAACTAATTTTCAGGTAGGTCCTTCCTTCCTTTTGTTCCAAGTACCATAAAGTAGCACTTAAAGCTTCAATTTACACTGTGCATTGGCCGGGAATCGAACCCGGGTCAACTGCTTGGAAGGCAGCTATGCTCACCACTATACCACCAATGCCCACCACTATATCACCAATGCCATGATGGGAAATCCCATTCTGGTGAGCAAAAGTTTAAGAATGTGCATTTCTCATCAGCAGACCATAGGCAACAGCCAAAGAAATGAGCTTTCGTGGTTTCTGTAGTGTAGTGGTTATCACGTTTGCCTCACACGCAAAAGGTCCCTGGTTCGAAACCGGGCAGAAACAAGCTGCAAATTTAGAATTTTGCTTTAATAACTGACCGGTTGTCATCACTATAGGATCAGATCCTCTATGAACAGCCCGAAAGCGAGACCTTGAACTGACCAGAATTCCTGCTTTTGTAGCAAAGCAGATCAAATTTGCTTACAAAATGAAATGGGAATCTCTGGTTTTCCACAGAACGTGGAAGCCTGTCTCTTTTGTTGCTCAGTAAGACTCTGAACTTGACTGGAAATTTTTCTGTAAAGTGCTGGTCACCAAGTTCACCTATCAGCAAGAAGTCTCCGCTCGAAAAAGGCTGGGAGCGGTTTCCCTTCCATTGTGCTTTTGTAGCAAGGCAGATAACAGCTCTTGCAAAATCAAGATCTCTGCTTTTCCACTGACTGTAGTGACTCTTTCCTTGATCAAGAAGACAAGGGTAAGGATGCGTTTGACTCGAGGTTGCAACTTGTAATTCCCCACCTCCAAGCAGGAACATACAACGAAAACGCACCCTCGACTTGAAATTGCCATTCGTCAACAATGGGAAGTCTTCTCATCTACCAGTGCCTTCCCTGTTCATCGAGTGATGTCAACATGACCGGTTCAGAACTCAGAAAGTGGCACTTACCTTAGTGCTGATTTGCTTTAGATCACGGGTTTCCAGTATTATCCAGAATGAGCCAGTGTGGCTGAAGGTTTTCATACTAACCAAGCAGAAGCCACACTTTAGTCTATTGAAAGTAAAGATCAGCAGATCCAACAATTGGAATCAGGTGTGGCTCCTGCTAGATTGGAACAAAAACCTGAAGATTGGACAACCCTGCTTAAGACCAATCAGCATATAGGCATATTTGGTTGTTAAATATAAAACATTGACTATGTAGAAAGCTGATAGCGGAAAATGTACACCTCCGTCACAGTTTGCATGCCTGCTGTCGGCTAACAGAAGACAGACCCGATTTTCTCCCATTTTTGCCCCTTGTTCACAGGTGAAACATGGCCTGATGGATAATGATGTGCTTCCAAACAGCAAAGAATCAGTAACAATACAACTGGGAAGCTGAAAGGTTTCTAAGAGGCCTGCATTGAAGCCTATGGCACACTGTATTGCCAACTAATTTTCAGGTAGGTCCTTCCTTCCTTTTGTTCCAAGTACCATAAAGTAGCACTTAAAGCTTCAATTTACACTGTGCATTGGCCGGGAATCGAACCCTGGGTCAACTGCTTGGAAGGCAGCTATGCTCACCACTATACCACCAATGCCCACCACTATCTCACCAATGCCATGATGGGAAATCCCATTCTGGTGAATCATAAAAGTTTAAGAATGTGCATTTCTCATCAGCAGACCATAGGCAACAGCCAAAGAAATGAGCTTTCGTGGTTTCTGTAGTGTAGTGGTTATCACGCGTTTGCCTCACGCACAAAGGTCCCTGGTTCGAGAAACCGGGCAAAAACAAGCTGCAAATTTAGAATTTTGCTTTAATAACTGACCGGTTGTCATCACTATAGGATCAGATCCTCTATGAACAGCCCGAAAGCGAGACCTTGTACAGACCAGAATTCCTGCTTTTGTAGCAAAGCAGATCAAATTTGCTTACAAAATGAAAGGGAATCTCTGGTTTTCCACAGAACGCGGGAAAGCCTGTCTCTTTTGTTGCTCAGTAAGACTCTGGACTTGACTGGAAATTTTTCTGTAAAGTACTGGTCACCAAGTTCACCTATCAGCAAGAGGTATCCGATCGAAAAAGGCTGGGAGCGGTTTCCCTTCCATTGTGCTTTTGTCTCTTTCCTTGATCAAGAAGACAAGGGTAAGGATGCGTTTGACTCGAGGTTGCAACTTGTAATTCCCCACCTCCAAGCAGGAACATACAACGAAAACGCACCCTCGACTTGAAATTGCCATTCGTCAACAATGGGAAGTCTTCTCATCTACCAGTGCCTTCCCTGTTCATCGAGTGACGTCAACATGACCGGTTCAGAACTCAAGAAGTGGCACTTACCTTAGTGCTGATTTGCTTTAGATCACGGGTTTCCCAGTATTATCCAGAATGAGCCAGTGTGGCTGAAGGTTTTCATACTAACCAAGCAGAAGCCACACTTTAGTCTGTTGAAAGTAAAGATCAGCAGATCCAACAATTGGAATCAGGTGTGGCTCCTGCTAGATTGGAACAAAAACCTGAAGATTGGACAACCCTGCTTAAGACCAATCAGCATATAGGCATATTTGGTTGTTAAATATAAAACATTGACTATGTAGAAAGCTGATAGCGGAAAATGTACACCTCTCGTCACAGTTTGCATGCCTGCTTGTCGCTAACAGAAGACAGACCCGATTTTCTCCCATTTTTGCCCCTTGTTCACAGGTGAAACGTGGCCTGATGGATAATGATGTGCTTCCAAACAGCAAAGAATCAGTAACAATACAACTGGGAAGCTGAAAGGTTTCTAAGAGGCCTGCATTGAAGCCTATGGCACACTGTATTGCCAACTAATTTTCAGGTAGGTCCTTCCTTCCTTTTGTTCCAAGTACCATAAAGTAGCACTTAAAGCTTCAATTTACACTGTGCATTGGCCGGGAATCGAACCCCGGTCAACTGCCTTGGAAGGCAGCTATGCTCACCACTATATACCACCAATGCCCACCACTATATCACTAAATACCATGATGGGAAATCCCATTCTGGTGAATCATAAAAGTTTAAGAATGTGCATTTCTCATCAGCAGACCATAGGCAACAGCCAAGGAAATCAGCTTTCATGGTTTCTGTAGTATAGTGGTTATCACGTTTGCCTCACACGCAAAAGGTCCCTGGTTCGAAACCGGGCAGAAACAAGCTGCAAATTTAGAATTTTGCTTTAATAACTGACCGGTTGTCATCACTATAGGATCAGATCCTCTATGAACAGCCCGAAACGAAGTACCTTGAACTGACCAGAATTCCTGCTGTTTGTAGCAAAGCAGATCAAATTTGCTTACAAAATGAAAGGGAATCTCTGGTTTTCCACAGAACGTGGAAGCCTGTCTCTTTTGTTGCTCAGTAAGACTCTGAACTTGACTGGAAATTTTTCTGTAAAGTGCTGGTCACCAAGTTCACCTATCAGCAAGAAGTCTCCGCTCGAAAAAGGCTGGGAGCGCGGTTTCCCTTCCATTGTGCTTTTGTAGCAAGCAGATACAGCTTTGCAAATAACAGGGTTTTTTACTACTGTGGAAGCCTGACTCTTTCCTTGATCAAGAAGACAAGGGTAAGGATGCGTTTGACTCGAGGTTGCAACTTGTAATTCCCCACCTCCAAGCAGGAACATACAACGAAAACGCACCCTCGACTTGAAATTGCCATTCGTCAACAATGGGAAGTCTTCTCATCTACCAGTGCCTTCCCTGTTCATCGAGTGACGTCAACATGACCGGTTCAGAACTCAGAAAGTGGCACTTACCTTAGTGCTGATTTGCTTTAGATCACGGGTTTCCCAGTATTATCCAGAATGAGCCAGTGTGGCTGAAGGTTTTCATACTAACCAAGCAGAAGCCACACTTTAGTCTATTGAAAGCAAAGATCAGCAGATCCAACAATTGGAATCAGGTGTGGCTCCTGCTAGATTGGAACAAAACCTGAAGATTGGACAACCCTGCTTAAGACCAATCAGCATATAGGCATATTTGGTTGTTAAATATAAAACATTGACACTATGTAGAAGAAAGCTGATAGCGGAAAATGTACACCTCTCGTCACAGTTTGCATGCCTGCTTGTCGCTAACAGAAGACAGACCCGATTTTCTCCCATTTTTGCCCCTTGTTCACAGGTGAAACGTGGCCTGATGGATAATGATGTGCTTCCAAACAGCAAAGAATCAGTAACAATACAACTGGGAAGCTGAAAGGTTTCTAAGAGGCCTGCATTGAAGCCTATGGCACACTGTATTGCCAACTAATTTTCAGGTAGGTCCTTCCTTCCTTTTGTTCCAAGTACCATAAAGTAGCACTTAAAGCTTCAATTTACACTGTGCATTGGCCGGGAATCGAACCCGGGTCAACTGCTTGGAAGGCAGCTATGCTCACCACTATACCACCAATGCCCACCACTATCTCACCAATGCCATGATGGGAAATCCCATTCTGGTGAACCCAAAAGTTTAAGAATGTGCATTTCTCATCAGCAGACCATAGGCAACAGCCAAAGAAATGAGCTTTTGTGGTTTCTGTAGTGTAGTGGTTATCACGTTTGCCTAACACGCAAAAGGTCCCTGGTTCGAAACCGGGCAGAAACAAGCTGCAAATTTAGAATTTTGCTTTAATAACTGACCGGTTGTCATCACTATAGGATCAGATCCTCTATGAACAGCCCGAAAGCGAGACCTTGAACTGACCAGAATTCCTGCTTTTGTAGCAAAGCAGATCAAATTTGCTTACAAAATGAAATGGGAATCTCTGGTTTTCCACAGAACGTGGAAGCCTGTCTCTTTTGTTGCTCAGTAAGACTCTGGACTTGACTGGAAATTTTTCTGTAAAGTACTGGTCACCAAGTTCACCTATCAGCAAGAGGTATCCGATCGAAAAAGGCTGGGAGCGGTTTCCCTTCCATTGTGCTTTTGTCTCTTTCCTTGATCAAGAAGACAAGGGTAAGGATGCGTTTGACTCGAGGTTGCAACTTGTAATTCCCCACCTCCAAGCAGGAACATACAACGAAAACGCACCCTCGACTTGAAATTGCCATTCGTCAACAATGGGAAGTCTTCTCATCTACCAGTGCCTTCCCTGTTCATCGAGTGACGTCAACATGACCGGTTCAGAACTCAGAAAGTGGCACTTACCTTAGTGCTGATTTGCTTTAGATCACGGGTTTCCAGTATTATCCAGAATGAGCCAGTGTGGCTGAAGGTTTTCATACTAACCAAGCAGAAGCCACACTTTAGTCTATTGAAAGTAAAGATCAGCAGATCCAACAATTGGAATCAGGTGTGGCTCCTGCTAGATTGGAACAAAAACCTGAAGATTGGACAACCCTGCTTAAGACCAATCAGCATATAGGCATATTTGGTTGTTAAATATAAAACATTGACTATGTAGAAAGCTGATAGCGGAAAATGTACACCTCTCGTGACAGTTTGCATGCCTGCTTGTCGCTAACAGAAGACAGACCCGATTTTCTCCCATTTTTGCCCCTTGTTCACAGGTGAAACGTGGCCTGATGGATAATGATGTGCTTCCAAACAGCAAAGAATCAGTAACAATACAACTGGGAAGCTGAAAGGTTTCTAAGAGGCCTGCATTGAAGCCTATGGCACACTGTATTGCCAACTAATTTTCAGGTAGGTCCTTCCTTCCTTTTGTTCCAAGTACCATAAAGTAGCACTTATAGCTTCAATTTACACTGTGCATTGGCCGGGAATCGAACCCAGGTCAACTGCTTGGAAGGCAGCTATGCTCACCACTATACCACCAATGCCCACCACTATCACACCAATGCCATGATGGGAAATCCCATTCTGGTGAACCAAAAGTTTAAGAATGTGCATTTCTCATCAGCAGACCATAGGCAACAGCCAAAGAAATGAGCTTTTGTGGTTTCTGTAGTGTAGTGTTTATCACGTTTGCCTCACACGCAAAAGGTCCCTGGTTCGAAACCGGGCAGAAACAAGCTGCAAATTTAGAATTTTGCTTTAATAACTGACCGGTTGTCATCACTATAGGATCAGATCCTCTATGAACAGCCCGAAAGTGAGACCTTGAACTGACCAGAATTCCTGCTTTTGTAGCAAAGCAGATCAAATTTGCTTACAAAATGAAATGGGAATCTCTGGTTTTCCACAGAACGTGGAAGCCTGTCTCTTTTGTTGCTCAGTAAGACTCTGAACTTGACTGGAAATTTTTCTGTAAAGTGCTGGTCACCAAGTTCACCTATCAGCAAGAAGTCTCCGCTCGAAAAAGGCTGGGAGCGGTTTCCCTTCCATTGTGCTTTTGTCTCTTTCCTTGATCAAGAAGACAAGGGTAAGGATGCGTTTGACTCGAGGTTGCAACTTGTAATTCCCCACCTCCAAGCAGGAACATACAACGAAAACGCACCCTCGACTTGAAATTGCCATTCGTCAACAATGGGAAGTCTTCTCATCTACCAGTGCCTTCCCTGTTCATCGAGTGACGTCAACATGACCGGTTCAGAACTCAGAAAGTGGCACTTACCTTAGTGCTGATTTGCTTTAGATCACGGGTTTCCAGTATTATCCAGAATGAGCCAGTGTGGCTGAAGGTTTTCATACTAACCAAGCAGAAGCCACACTTTAGTCTATTGAAAGTAAAGATCAGCAGATCCAACAATTGGAATCAGGTGTGGCTCCTGCTAGATTGGAACAAAAACCTGAAGATTGGACAACCCTGCTTAAGACCAATCAGCATATAGGCATATTTGGTTGTTAAATATAAAACATTGACTATGTAGAAAGCTGATAGCGGAAAATGT